TTTTTTTTTTTTGGGGGGGGGGGAAAAGAGGGAGGAGGGGGAAATGAATGACACCAGAAGGTGGGAAATGGGAGAGCGCTGACAAACATGGAAGCCCTCAAATTAATGAGGGCGTTTCAGATCAATGTGATCTCCCAATCTAAAATCAATTGGAAGAAAACCCCCACTACATGTAAAAATTAATAGACCTGGTTTAGCAGAAATCCCTTTGACATTTTCAGCAAAGCTGCTTAAGAGAATATAGATAATCCTTGTCCTCAGTAATCCACAAGAGCTTCCAAATCACCACAGTAGGAAGAAAGGGAGGACCGCAGCAACCTCTACAGTACCCAAATATGCCATCCCCCCAAAAATATTTTGCAGATCCAGAATACACAGATGTTTTTTCTAACCCAAGTTCACTTGTCGGAGCTCTCCAGGGACTATAAATAAAGCAAAAGGATCTAAGGGTATGCCTGCACTGCATAGCAAACCTGGGTCTGTGTGACTCGTTCTTTCCAAGCTCACCTTTGAGCAACCACACTGCATTGCTATGCACAACTCATACTATGCCAGCACATCCATGCAGTGGTACACAGACAAGCCACTCTAGGGGTTAGTTCATGGTATATTGTGGAAAAAAACTTGACAGTAAAGGATTGGGAGTCAGGATAAACTGCTACCGTAAAACAAAGAGGTTTTAAAAGAGGTGGGAAATCCCATGCAATCTTCAGCATGCAATCAAGAGTAACTGCCTGACCCTTTTTCAGTCTTGCATCTGAAGACGTGAGGTTCTGACCCACGAAAGCTTATGCTCCCAATACTTCTGTTAGTCTCAAAGGTGCCACAGGACCCTCTGTTGCTTTTTACAGATTCAGACTAACACGGCTACCCCTCTGATACTTGCCTGACCCTTTTGTAGCCCTAATACATCTTATGTGGGCCTTCCGTTTACAAAATCCTCCAGGCATCGTTATAAAATATATTTTATCATAAAATCCTGTGTCCTAGCAGCAACATCTGCAAAGTGCTCCAAAAGTTGAATTGCCCTTTTGGGTTTTTTTGGTTTTAATAAAAACCATCACTGATCCAGGATCAAGGCTTAGAAATATACTGGTCCTGAAAAATGTTTGTATTAGTCCTAAGAGTATCTAGCCCTCTCAGGTCATTAGGCACAATTGTACAAAGCAGTGGTTTCCAGAGCTAGAAAAAGAGAGACAGTGGCCATTAAAATCAAATCCCAAGTGAAGTGACACACAAGAAAGCATGATGGTAATCGGAACGATGGGTATTTCAGTCTGAGCTCTTGTGAACTGCCAGAGTTAAAAATTAATACTGTAAACCTCTGAACAGCTGAGATTCCGACAACAGTCTTAACGCCCACATGACTGTGACTCAGTAGTTACATACCTGATCTTTTATGACCAGAAAGAAACAGAACTTAGCAAGAGGTACGTAAATCCAGCTCAGCTTTCACACCAGCAGTGTTATTTGGGTAGGCATGTTATACTGGAGCGGCCTTGCTTTGGATTCAGCTTGCAGGGTTTCAGATTTTGGGAAGTCCGATTCTGTTGTATGCAGATGTAATGTGAATGCAACAAGGCGAGAGATCTTGGATGAAGTGGAACATCTGGAGACCTTCCAGCAAGGACAATTAAGGGTAAAAAATAAACTCAAACCAGCTTGGTACTGCAGAACCAATACATTATGTGCAGCTGGGTGACCAGGGAGGTCAGAGGAGAATGGGGTGTTGCCATACATGCACACCTCTGTTTCATTCTCCTTGGGAAAGGAGAGGGCAGAGGGCGAGCAATATAAAAATAGCCACCAAGAATATAAATAGCATACGTTAAGGCAAAGTTTTTTGGACATGACCTCAGCAGCCCGGAATAGTTTTGGCAGGTATCGTGCGAGCCTGGGGACGCTGCGGAGGGTATTCTTAGCAGGAGTCCCAGAAGGCTGTCCAGTTTGCGTGCGGAGGACTGAAGCGCTATTGTCATGCTGCAATTTGGAGACAGCTTGGCACAGCGACAGCATCGTGCTCAAAGTCCAAAGTGACTGAGGAACAGAGCAGGCTGGGAGGCGCAACTTTGCTCTGTTAGTCCCTTGGCAATCACGGGGTAATCGGACTGGCTGCCAGGAATTCTATTGGGACCCAAAGGCGGCCATGTGTTAGGATTCCACTTGCTCTCACACACACACACACACACACACACTCTTCCTTTTTGTTACAGTGAAGGACATGTGTAACAAACAAAATCAGTAGGGTTGGATCAGCCCATTGGACCCCTTAACAAAAATGTTGGGCTCTCCTTGTAACAGGTTACACGGTTACTTCTGGGTCAGAGAAGTGCACAGCGCACATCTGTCCTGTGATAGATCACATGGAAACTGTTCTGCTAATAAAGGCTCCTCTTACCTCTCCAGCTATCTTCGATACTTTTATGCCCCCCGCCCCCCAATATGTCACAATCTTCAATGCACTTATCCTCCCAGTGCCCCTGTGTGGTAGAGTGCAGTGCTATTACCCCTGTATTACAGATGGGGGAACAGAAGCACAGAGACACTTAGGGTACATACATCACAGCAGCGGCACTACAGCTGTGCCGCTGTAGTGTAGATGCCTCTTGCGGAAGTGGTTTTTCCATCACTATAGTTAATCCGCCCGTCCGAGAGGCAGTCGAGCCAGCTGCATCTGCACTAGGTGACAGGTCAACCTGCGTCGCACAGGGTGTGACATTTTTCACAGCCCTGAATGATGTAGCTAGGTCGACCTACGTTTTAGATGCAGGCCAGGCCCCGGTGACTTGCCCAAAGTCACCCAGGAAACCACTGCAGCAGGAATGCAGCCCAGACACTGCCATAATGATATTTGTCCTGTTGGTAGAGCTGGACTGAAGCAAGTCAACAAAGCCATCTGTCAGAGCTCCTTGTCAACATGCAGCTCCTGTTTTTCTCCTACATAGAACCCTGCCTCTCAGCCAGGGATTGAGAGATACCAGCAGTAAACACTATGCTTTTGATCACAGCCGGATGTGGCAGGCTGGACAATTTAGGGATTGGCAAGGAGAGGATACGGAGCCTTTCACCCCTAGATCACTGGCTCAGATATAACTGTGATTGGGAGTAACAGGAGTCCACCTCCTGTGCTGGCTGCTCCTACACACACAGGAGGGGGTTAGTAGGGCATTTT